GAGCGGACTGTCGTCGGCACTCTCCGATCCCTCCTCAAGCGCGCGTCCTCCTTCCCGACTGTATACTGATTACGGTGAGTTTCAGATAGCTACACCTGTGTCGCGACAAGCCTGGTATTCCTGAACATTACAAGACCTCTATGGGACGTTGTCCAGACCAGCACCTCGAGCAAGACGTCTGCCCACAAGTGATCAAGTGCAGAGAACCTGAGTTGAAGCACGAGTGCGCATACATTGCAGTCGGGGCGTGCCCTGCGGTAAAGAGATTCCTGATTGACGGCGCGCTGATGTGGCAAGACGGGGTAAACTCGACGACGGATCAGAATCCGGCGCCTCGCGGCCAGCAAAGTAACGACTGCAAAGAGTAGTAGCTTTGGCCCTTCCGAGGCAAGAGTACTACTCAGGCATGAGTGCACCCTGCGCAGGGGACACTGGCAGTCTGAGCCAAGAACCAGCGCGTGTCCTCCTCTGGCACCAGGCCGCCAGCTCGGGCTGCGACGCGCCGCACACGCACGGCACCGTGGGGCAACATGCGGCTCCTCACGGCACCGCACGACACCTGGCCAACATCGGACCTCACAGGACCACGGACGGAGATGCTCGGCTCCATGCTGCTACCGAACGGCACCGCCACCTCTCACAGCACGGAGTCGGACCCTGGGCACCAGGCACGCAGCAGACAGGGGCAGCACGGCAGCGCGCACGGCAGCAGGGCACCAGAGATCGGCTCGCGGGGCACCGCGCGCGCGCAGCACCACATTGGTGCCACTGCATATGGCACCGGACGTGCGGGCACACACCGGCACGGCCACGCCCTCTGCAGAGGACCTCCCGGGAGCTGCTGCACCCGACGCAAGCGAGGGGCACGGCAGCGAGAGGGCGGCAGCCGAGGCTGCTCGGCGAGCGCGTGTGGCCCCCGACGTCGGAGCTGCCCGAGAGGCAGGCGCGCGGCACCGCAGAACTCCAGCAGCAGGGCCCCGATGAGGTGGTACATGTCCTCCCCCCGCCGTTCGCCGGGGCGCGGAGACAGCAGCGGTCGGCAGCCTGCACACCTCAGAGGCGGCTGGACAACCGAGCGAAGCAATCAAGAACCCCCCCCGTGTGATCGACAGCACCGAAACGGGAATGCATGATTCGCGGGGACGGATTTGGCGGAACGATGCCTTTAGCACCGCCCCAAGCCAAAACAAAACAATGATGATCCCCCCCCCCCCCCCCCCCCGCGACCGAAATCTACAGTAAGGACTGGCGGTAAGAACGCAAGAGCATTGAACGCCGAAGATAGCGAACTGCCAACACCCTGAATCGCCTGTTGCGCGCTAGCGCGAAATTCCTGAGGGGGCCTCTGGAAATATGCGCCTCGACGGCCGAGAGCCCGACAATTCCTCACCGCCTCTCCTTCCTCCTCATGGTCCCTTCCTCCTCGCCTCCCCGTTCCTGTGCGATTCCTGCAGCAATCCCCAATGAGAAATTGATTTCCGTCGGCCGTTCTAGGGGGTGGTCAAACCCAGGGTGTCGCACCCGCCCCGCACGGAGCGTTATCTTGGCACCAGGGAGCGCCACAAAATTCGCCAGCCCAACGGGCCAGTAGCTGCCCCAGAGCCACTTGACAGGGGGGCATGCCAGGAGGACGCGCCACGGAACACCCCAAGGGACGCGCAAGGGGACCTGCCAGGTGACGTGCTATGGGGACGCACCGCGGGACGTGCCAAAGGGAACTCGCTACGCAACGTGCCAATGGACGTGCCACGGGACGTGCAAAAAGATGCGCCGCGCCACGTGCCAGGGGGACCCGCCACGGGACGCGCCACGGAACACGCCAAGGAACGTGCAAGGTTGCAATGCTGAATGTGCCGATCTTGACGTACCGTGCCAAGGGCTGTGCTGTGCTGCGGCGTGCTGAATTGCGATGTGCCATGCCCCAAGTGTGCTCTATAGCGTTGTGGATCGAGTCCTCCTTTGCATCCGAGTCCTGACCGAACTGATCTGGATCTTAAGCTCGAGCTGCCTGAGCACACAGTAGCTGCCCAAGAGCTGATAGACAAGGGGACACGCCAGGGGGACGCGCCGCGGAACGTCCCAAGGGACGCGCCAGGGGACGTGCCAGGGGACGTGCCAAAGGGACGCACCGCGGGACGTGCCAAAGGGACGCGCTACGGAACGTGCCAATGGACGTGCCACGGGACGTGCCAGGGTACGCGCCGCGCCACGTGCCAGGGGGACTGGCCATGGGACGCGCCACGGCACGTGCCAACGGAACGTGCCAAGGCACGTGCCAAATTGCAAGGCTGAGTGCATCGATGTTGATGTACGGTGCCAAGGGCTGTGCTGTGCTGAGCCGTGCTGAACTGCGATGTGCCAGGCCGCGAGTGTGCTCTATAGCGCTGTGGGTCGAGTCCTCCCTTGCATCCGAGTCCTCACCGAACTGATCTGGATCTTAAGCTCGAGCTGCCTGAGCACACAGTAGCTGCCCCAGAGCTAGTTGAAATTGAAACGTGCGGGACGTTCAATCACCGACCTCAAAAGAAAAAAAAAAAAAAAAAAAAAAAAGTAAAACAAAAAAAAAAAAAATTCAATAAAAAAAAAACAAAAAAAAAAAAAAAAAACAAAAAAAAAAAAAAAAAAAAAAAAAAAAAAACAAAAAAAAAAAAAAAAAAAAAAAAAAAAAACAAAAAAAAAAAAAACAAAAAAAAAAAAAAAAAAAAAAAAAAAAAAAAAAAAAAAAAAAAAAAAAAAAAAAAAAAAAAAAAAAAAAAAAAAAAAAAAAAAAAAAAAAAAAAAAAAAAAAATAAAAAAAAAAAAAAAAAAAAAAATGAGAAAAAAAACAAAAAAAAAAAAAAAAAAAAAAAAAGAAAAAAAAAAAAAAAAAAAAAAAAAAAAAAAACAAAAAAAAAAAAAAAAAAAAAAAAAAAAAAAAAAAAAAAAACAAAAAAAAATAAAGCAGACTAAGCTCCGAAACGGAACGACATGAGACGGGGCGCAGGCTCACGGACGCGCCACGGGATGTGCCAGGGGCGCAATAGATGATTCGCAAGGGGGCGTGCCAAGGAACGTATCAAGGGACGTGCCCTGGACGTGTCAGGGACCTGCCACGGGAGGCGCCAAGGCGCGTGCCATGGAACGGCCAGAGGATGTCATGCCACGGGAAATTGCAAGGGGCGCGCCACGGAACGGGCAGGGGAAGCGCAAAGGGACGAGCCAGGAGACGCGACAGAGGACGAGCCAGGGAGCGTGCCACGCCAAGTGGCGTGCTAGGGCGACCTGGACACCCGCCTGGGCGACCTGGACACGTGGAAACAAGCGACTCGCTCGAAACATCCCCAAGGCATCCTCGTGTTGTACATCCTCCTGGGCGACCTGGACACGTGAAACCAAGCGTCTCGCTCGAGACGTTCTCGACACCTCCTCGTGCTAGACATCTGCCAAGGCAACCTGGACGCATGAAAACAAGCGGTCGCTCACCACATCCTCAAAACATCCTCATCCTAGACATCCGCCTGGGCGAACTCGACACGTGAAAACAAAAGGGTCGCTCACGACATCCTCAACACATATTCTGTTAGACGTCCGCCTGGGTAACCTGGGCATGTAAAAACAAGCGTTTCGATCGAGACGTTCTCAACAGCTCCTCGTGATAGACATCCGCGTGGGCGACCTGGACACGAGCGCTTACCTTAAGACGTTCTCAACACATCCTCATGCTAGACATCTGCCTGGGCGACCTGGACACGTGCAAACAAGCGCCTCGATCGAGACTTCCTCAACAAATCCACATGCTAGATATCTCCCTGGGCGACCTGGACGCGTGACACCAAGCGTCTCGCTCGAGAGATGCTCGAGATCTGGGCACGTGAAAACAAGCATTTCACCTGAGACATCCTCTAAATTATGGTCCCCAGGAGAGGAACAACATATAATACAAAAGAAGCGTTTCGCTCGAGACATCCTCAACAAGTTCTGAAAAAACAAGCGTTTCGCTCGAGACATCCTCAACATCTTAATTCGCCAGCCCTACGCGACCTCGCTATTCACCGAAAATAACTTCGATTTCGCCGGCCTTACAGCCGTCGATTCTGGGGGGGACCCCTAAAAAACCCTGGGCCCGTGCCATTTCCAAGAAAAACAATAAATCCTTCTGCAAAACAAGCGCGGGGCTCGAGACATCCTCGAGATTCCTGCGCGCAGGACGCGCCATCCTCGAGCGGACATGCAAAAAGTCAACCTTTCCATATTTCTCGTGAAAATAAAAACGTTCGGGCCTCCGCACATCGCTGTTTAGTGGGGACTCTCCGCGAAACGCTCCGCACCCTCTTTTTTACAAAAGGAAAACGGGGATCTGCGGACTCTGTTAGGCAACGAGGATCCGAGATGGGGGGCACATTTTCCTCCATCGGGCACGCGCGAAACGCATTTGTTCCACGCCGAATGGGATTTTACATCGTTTTCTATCAAGCGGACATTCGCCGGCCCACCTCAGCATGGCACCGGGGGCAGGCTTACCAACTAAAAGAGAACCCTGGGCCGGAGCCCTTTAATAAACCCTGGGCCCCGGCCCTTTCCAGGAACCCAAGAAAATATTCAAACATGACTCAAAAAATAATCAAAAAATCCTCCCCAGACGATGTTTGCACTATCTTTGAAGATTCCTCCTGTAGAGGGACGTGCCCGACTTAATGCTCATGTCGTCTTCGCAGCCCGGTCGCCCCTTCTCCTACTCGCTTTACCTCTTGGTCTTTTTCAGCCCCTCCCCCGGGCGCTGGGAGGGGCATCGAGGGCTTCGACCACTCGTGCTGACAGAGTCTGCAGATGCGAGGCTTCGAAGAGGAGGAGGGCGCGCCCTGAGCCTGAGCGGTTATGGGGACCCCTTGCCGTTGTGCTCACCTCTGTGCCCCAGTGGGCTTCTCTTCCCTTCGCCTTTCCCTCCACTCTCCGGTGCACGCACTGGCACCTCGTTCTCTGTCACTGATCGGGCGCTGCGTTCCGATCTCGTGTTTTTTTCTCTCGGACCGGCCACGGGGACGCTACAGCCCACCCGTGCGCTGGAGCCCGCGCAACGTCAGCGAGGGCGCGCCCTGCGCCCCAGACCAGCGCCTCGCGACCTCGCGGCAGGCCGCCCGGCCAAACCACGGGGCCCCACCTGGTGACACAAGAGGCACCGATGCCGCTACCCCCCGGACCTCTCCTGGGGTGCGCTCTGACCAGAATCTCGAGGCGAATCCAGCGGTGGCGACGAGGGCCTCCCAGGAGGCCCAAAGATAGGAAGACGGGCGAGGGGGTAGAGGTACGTATGGGTAACTACCTCCTCCTCCTCCTCCTCCTGCTCCTCATCCTCCTCCTCCTCCTCCTCCTCCTCCTCCTCCTCCTCCTCATCCTCCTCCTCTGACCCACCGCCTCGCGGCGGGCCGCCCCAACGGGGCCCCAGCGCGGCTGCGGCCGCGGCGGCGGCCGACGGCTAGGCGCGCCTGCCGGACCCCCCCCCGCGCAGCATCGCCCTGGCCCGCCGAGCCTCCCGCGCCGCCGGCGCGCTGTCGGGCTCCAGCCGGAGGAGCTGGCGGAAGTCCTCCAGCGCCAGCGACCAGTCTCCCGCTGGCGAGGCTCGGCGCCGCGCGCGGGCAGCTCAAAAGCGCCGCTCTTTGAACTCCTCCTCCTCCTCTTCCTCCTCCTCCTCCTCCTCCTCTCCTCCTCCTCCTCCTCCTCCTCCTCCTCCTCCTCCTCCTCCTCCTCCTCCTCCTCCCCCTCCTCCTCCTCCTCCTCCTCTCCTCCTCCTCCTCCTCCTCCCTCCTCCTCCTCCTCCTCCTCCTCCTCCTCCTCCTCCTCCTCCTCCTCCTCCTCCTCTCCTTCCTCCTCCTCCTCCTCCTCCTCCTCCTCCTCCTCCTTCCCATCCTCTCCTCCTCCTCCTCCCTCCCCCCCCCCTCTCCTCCTCATCTCCTCCTCCCCTCATCTCCTCCCCTCCTCCCCTCCTCCTCGTCCTCCTCCTCCTCCCTCCTCCTCCTCCTCCTCCTCCTCCTCCTCCTCCTCCTCCTCCTCCTCCTCCTCCTCCTCCTCCTCCTCCTCCCCCTCCTGCGGGCAGCCCGCCCGAGGTGGTCCCGGCTGGCCTCAGCAGGCCTCCGCCGAGCCCTGCAGGATCCTGGCGTCGCACTCTGTCCCGCCGGGCGTTTGCGCCCGCTTCCGGGCCCCAGGGTGCTCACGGATCGATCCGGCTCGAGAGATGCCGCAGCTAGCTGGGGTCCAGGGCTCCGGCCATGACTCTCAGCGATACTGCTTTCATTCCCAGCGGCGGACCTCCGAGAAATAGTCGGGGGCGGTCTCGACACTCCATGGCGCCGCCTCCGGCGGCGCTCCCTGAGATCCGACGTAGCGACGAAATACGGCATCGTAACAAATCACGCCTAGAGTCATGGATTCTACCTTTCTGTGCCATTTTTCGAGTATGATCGAAATGTGAGGGTCCCATGGCCAGGAACATAATCGACCCACGAACCCTAATTGGGCGACGGGCAAACGCAATGCTGAGTGCATCGGCCTTGATGCAGCGTGCCGAGGGCTGTGCTGTGCTGCGCCGTGCTGGATTGCGATGTGCCATGCCGCGACTGTGCTCTATAGCGTTGTGGATCGAATCCTCCTTTGCATCCGAGTCCTGACCGAACTGATCTGGATCTTAAGCTCGAGCTGCCTGAGCACATAGCAGCTGGCCCAGAGCTAATTGACAGGGGGACATGCCAGGAGGACGCGCCGCGGAACGCACCAAGAGACGCGCCAAGCGACGTGCCAGGGGGCGTGCCATGGGGACGCACCGCGGGACGTGCCAAGGGGACGCGCTACGGAGCGTATGGACGTGCCATGGGACGTGCCAGGGGACGCGCCGCGCGACGTGCCAGGGGGACTCGCCACGGGACGCGCCACGAAACGTGCCAAGGAACGTGCCAGGTTGCAATGCTGAGTGCATCAATCTTGATGTACCGTGCCGAGGGCTGTGCTGTGCTGCGCCGTGCTGAATTGCGATGTGCCATGCCGCGATTGTGCTCTATAGTGTTGATCCGAGTTCTGGCTGCACTGATCTGGACCTTAAGCTCGAGCTGCCTGAGCACATAGTAGCTGCCCCAGAGCTAAATTGACAGGGGGACATGCCAGGAGGACGCGCCGCGGAACGTCCCAAGGGACGCGCCAGGCAACGTGCCAGGGGACGTGCCTTGGGGACGCACCGCGGGACGTGCCAAGGGGACGCGCTACGGAACGTGCTGGGGACAAGCGTTTCGTTCGAGACATCCTGCCCAAATCCTCATGCTAGACATCCGCCTGGGGGACCTGGACACGTGCAAACAAGCATTTCGCTCAACACATCCTCAACACATCCTCATGCTAGACATCCGCCTGGGCGAACTAGACACGTGAAAACAAGTGGTTCGCTCGAGGCACCCTCAACATATCCTCATGTTAGACGCCCGTTCCAGGCTCCCAGGGAGGCCCCAGGAGGCCCATGTTAGATACCCCCTAGATAGCCTGGATACGTTAAAGCACCTGGTTCCGCCATGTTAGATACCCCCCTGGGCGGCCTGGACACGTAAAACCACGTGGTTCGTGTTCGGGACAATCATGAGATACCCCCTGGGTGGCCTGGACACATGCAAACACGCGGGACCAGCACTGGGCAACCATGTTAGATACACCCCTGGGTGACCTGGACACGTCAAGACACGTGGTCCTTGCTCGGGACAACCATGTTAGATATCCCCCTGGGCGGCCTGGACATGTACAAACACGTGTTTCAAGCTCGGGGCAACCATGTTAGATACCCTCCTGGGTGGCCTGGACACGCAAAACACGTAGTGCCAGCTTGGGACAACATTGTTAGATACACCCCTGGGCGGCCTGGACATGTAAACACACGTGGTTCAAGCTCGGGGCATCCATGTAAGATATCCCCCTTGGTGGCCTGGACACGTTAAAACACGTGGTTCCAGCTCGGGACAGCCATGTTAGATACACCCCTGAGTGGCCTGGACATGTAAACACACGTGGTTCCAGCTCGGGACAACCATTTTAGATATCCCCCTTGGTGGCCCGGACACGTTAAAACACGTGGTTCAAGCTCGGGACAACCATGTTAGATACCCCCCTGCGTGGCCTGGATACGCTGAATTCGCGCTCCCGCTCGAGACATCCTCGCAATGTCTTCTCTGGAGAGGCCTCCAAAGCGCCACCTCCTGTCCAAAGCAAGAAAACAGAACTTTTCGGTTTTTGGATATGTGCTCGGGTAGCGCTACGCGGCCCTCCGTGCGTTTCCTCATAATTCGGCGTTGGGCCCGACGCCATGTTAGATATCCCCCTGGGCGGCCTCGACATGTAAAACCACGTGGTTCGTGTTCGGGACAATCATGTTAGATACCCCATTGCGTGGCCTGGACACGTAAAAACACGCGGGACCAGCACTGGGCAACCATGTTAGATACACCCCTGGGTGACCTGGACACGTCAAGACACGTGGTCCTTGCTCGGGACAACCATGTTAGATATCCCCCTGGGCGGCCTGGACATGTACAAATACATGTTTCAAGCTCTGGGCAACCATGTTAGATACCACCCTGGGTGGTCTGCACACGTAAAAACACGTCCAGCCCACCAAGGGGGGATATCGAACATGCGGTCGTCTGGGGCGCAGGAGGGCCCAAGAACGCCCAGAGGCGCCTGGAAGCCAAAAAGATATCGATACCAGATACAAATAAACTCTCGAAGCTCCGTTCCGGGACCCAGGAAGGCCCCAGGAGGCCCATGGCCCATGTTCGATACCCCCCTGGGTGGCCTGGACACGTGAAAACACACAGTTCCAGAGCAGGACCACCATGTTAGATCCCCTCCTGGGTGGCGCGGACATGTAGAAACACGTGGCTCCAGCTCGGGACCACCATGTTAGATCCCTCCTGGGTGGCCTGGACACGTGAAAACACATGGTTCCAGCTCGGGACCACCATGATGGATATCCCCCCGGGTGGCCTGGACACGTGAAAACACCTGCCTCCAGCCCACCCAGGTGAGATATCTGACATGCGGTCGTCCAGGGCGCCAGCTAGGGGCAGCCATGTTAGATACCCTCTGGGCGACATGGGCGCGTGAAAACAAACAGTTCGCCTGGGACATGCCCCGCTCGAGACATCCCCCAACTCTGCAAAACCAGCGTTTCGCCTGATACATCCTCAACACATGTATATAAAACACACGTTTCGCTAGGGACATCCTCCATTGTTCCACGCCGAATGGGACTTTACCCCGAATGGCCAACGTTTCAAAAACGCCTGATTGGGCGACGGGCAAACGCAATGCTGAATGTATCGACCTTGATGTACCGTGCCGAGGGCTGTGCTGTACTGCGCCGTGCTGACTTGCGATGTGCCATGCCGCGATTGTGCTCTGTAGCGTTGTGGATCGAGTCCTCCTCTGCATCCGAGTCCTGACCGAACTGATCTAAATCTTAAGCTCGAGCTGCCTGAGCACATAATTGACATGGGGGACATGCCAGGAGGACGCGCCGCGGAACGTCCCAAGGTACGCGCCAGGCGACGTGCCAGGGGACGTGCCATGGGGACGCACCGCGGGACGTGCCAAGGGGACGCGCAACACAGAGGACGTGCCACGGGACGTGCCAGGGGACGCGCCGCGCGACGTGCCAGGGGGACTCGCCACGGGACGCGCGGAACGTGCCAAGGAACGTGCCAGGTTGCAATGCTGAGTGTATCGACATTGATGTACCGTGCCGGGGGCTGTGCTGCGCTGCGCCGTGCTGGATTGCGATGTGCCATGCCGCGATTGTGCTATGTAGCGTTGTGGATCGAGTCCTCCTTTGCATCCGAGTCCTGACCGAACTGATCTGGATCGTCAGCTCGAGCTGCCTGAGCACATAGCAGCTGCCCCAGAGCTAAATTGACAGGGGGACATGCCAGGAGGACGCGCCGCGGAACGTCCCCAGGTATGCGCCAGGCGACGTGCCAGGGGACGTGCCATGGGGACGCACCGCGGGACGTGCCAAGGGGACGCGCTACGGAACGTGCCAATGGACGTGCCACCTCATGCTAGACATCCGCCTGGGCGAACTGGACACGTGAAAACAAATGGTTCGCTCGAGACATCCTCACCACATCTTTATGTCAAACGTCCATTACAGGCCCCCAGGAAGGCCCCAGGAAGCTCATGCTAGATACCCCCTGAATAGCCTGGACACGTTAAAGCACCTGGTTCCGCCATGTTAGAACCCCCCCTGGGTGGCCTGGACACGTAAAACCACGTGGCTCCAATTTGGTACAATCTTGTTAGGTACCCCCCTGGGTGGCCTGGACACGTAAACACAAGTGGGACGAGCTCTGGGCAACCATGTTAGATACACCCCTGGGTGGCCTGGACATGTTGAAACACGTGGTCCCAGCTCGGGACAAGCATTTTAGATACCCCCTGGGCGGCCTGGACACGTAAAAACAGGTGTTTCAAGCTCGGGACAACCATATTAGATACCCCCTGGATGACATGGACACTGAAAACACGTGGTGCCAGCTCGGGACAACCATGTTAGATGCCCTACTGAGTGGCCTGGACACGTAAACACACGTGGTTCCAGCTCGGGAGTACCATGTAAGATATCCCCCTGGGTGGCCTGGACACATAAAAACACATAGTTCCAGCTCGGGACAGCCATGTTAGATACCCCCTGCGTGGCCTGGATACCTGAATTCGCGCTCCCGCTCGACACACCCTCGCATCTTCCCTGGAGATCCCCCCAAAGCGCCACTCCCTGCACAGAGAAAGAAAACACAACTTTTCTGTGTATGTGTTCGGGTAGCGCTTTTCGCCCCCCCGTGCGTTTCCTGGTAATTCGGCGTTGGGCCCGACGCCACGTGGGATACCCCCCCTGGGCGGCCTGGACACGTAAGACTACGTGGTTCGTGTTCGGGACAATCATGTTAGATACCCCCCTGGATGGCCTGGACACGTAAAACACGTGGGGCCAGCCTAGCGACCATGTTAGATACGTCCAAGGCGGCCTGGACACGTTCAAACACGTGGTCCTTGCTCGGGACACCCATGTCAGATTCCCCCCTGGGTGGCCAGGACACGTAAAAACACGTGGCGCCAGCTCGGGACAACCATGTTGTATACACCACTGAGTGACCTGGACACGTTAAAACACGTGGTGCCAGCTCGGGATAACCATGTTACATACACCCCTGAGTGGCCTGGACACATAAAAACACATGGTTCCAGCTCGGGACAGCCATGTTAGATACCCCCTGCGTGGCTGGCCTGGATACGCTGAATTCGCGCTCCCGCTCGAAACATCCTCGCAATGTCTTCCCTGGAGAGGCCCCCAAAGCGCCACCCCCGGTACAGAGCAAGAAAACATTACTTTTCAATTTTGGGATATGTGTTCGGGTAGCGCTTTTCGGCCCCCCGCGCGTGTCCTGATAATTCGGCGTTGGGCCCGACGCCATGTTGGATATCCCCCCTGGGCGGCCTGGACATGTAAAATAATATCAGATACTTCCCTGGGTGGCCTGGACATGTAAAAACATCAGGTTCCAGCACAGGACCACCATGTTAGATACCCCCCTGGGTGGCCTGGACATGTAGAAATACGTGGTTCCAGCTCGGGACCACCATGTCAAATACCACCTCTGGGTGGGCTGGACACGTGAAAACACATGGTTCCAGCTCGGGACCAACATGGTAGACACCCCGCTGATGGCCTGCACACGTAAAAACTAACAGCTCCAGCCCACCCAGGGGGGATACCTAACATGCGGTCGTCTGGGGCGCCAGCGACGGACAACCACGTTGAATACCCCCCTGGCCGACTTGGGCACGTGAAAATAAGCATTTCGCCTGAGACATCCTTTGAATTCTGCCCCCCCTCGAGGCCCCCGCTCGAGACATCCCCCAACTCTGCAAAACCAGCGTTTCGCTCGAGACATCCTCAACAAATTCTGAAAAAACAGGCATCCTCAAACATAATTTCGCCGGCCCTACGCGACCTAGTTATTTATCGCAAATAGTTTCGCCGGCCCTACAGCTGTCGATTCCGGGGGTAAACCTCTAAAGGAGAACCCTGGGCTCAGGCCCCTTCGGGGAAAATCGAAAGCGCCTGGCTCGAAAGAATGGAGACGCCAAGATCTCAGGGCCCCCAGGGTTGGGGTTAAGTCGGGCCTGTCCCTCTACAGGGGGACGATTCAAAAATAGTCAAAAAATAGTCTGGGGACTATCTTTCGAGTACTTTTGGGCATCTTTTGGACATGTTTTTGATATTTCGTTATGTTTCGTCCAAAATCCCCCTGTAGGGGGACAGGCCCGACCTAAGGTTGGGGTGCTGAGACCGCCCTGGGCTGCTCGGGAGAGGGGGGGGGGGGCAGGCCGCTGGAGGCCCGCCGGGGGACGCCTCGGAGGACTGCACGCGTGCGGCGCCGAGCCCCGCCAGGTGCTCCGCAGTTGGAGTGGGCACAGCCGCGTCGGAAGATCGGGTCGGGCGAAAGGGGGGGATAGCAAAGGGGGGGTTGAGAATCAGCTCACGTAGCTGATTTTCCCGGCGCCTCCCGGCGCCGGAGGCGGCGATGTATCGAGGAATGGGCCCCTCGGTGGGGCCGAAACCAGCTGCATGCAGCAGATTTCGTACCCCCCTCCTTTCCCAATCCCCCCCCTTCGCCCGGCCCGAGAAGAGCGCCTTGGCGTTCGTGGGCTCCAGGGCCAGCGCTGGTTGGGCGTTGGGTTGACGGAGGGGGGCGATCCATGGGAGGATGGAGGCGGGCGGGAGGGCGGGGGGGAAACGCGCGCACCTTCCGTGCCCCTCTGGGGCCCCTGTCGTACCCCTCCAGGGCTCCGAAGGTGCACCTTTCTGAAACGCCCGTTGATCGCCCTCCCCATTACGCAACGCCCGAGCTCGGTCCGCCATCCGCCTGGCACCCTCGCCGGTGGCGCCGTCCACGCCGGAGCGGAGCAGCGCCTGCGCCGCGTTGCAGCACAGCGTCGCCAGCAGCCGGCGCGGCTCCCCGGCCAGTGCGGGCTGGCAGAAGCCCTCGAACGCGTCGGCGCCGCGCTTGTAGGCGGTGTACGCCTCGCAGTAGTTGCCCTCCCTGAAGAGGCGGTTGCCCTCCTTGTGGGCACGAAGCGAGCGGCTTCCAGAGAAAGCGTGCGGCCTCCACCAAGGCCCGCGTTTCGTTCTGAGCGGTTTTCGACAGCCCCGCAGCCCGTGGGGGGGCGAACGGAGGCCAAGACCAGGGAGCGAAAACCGCAGGACTTGGGCGCCCGAATCATCGTAACTCGGGCCCGGGGCAACTCGGGCTCGGACCCCCGAAGAACGAACCGAGCTAGCCCTGACCTGAATTACCCCTGATGATTTGGGGCTCTGGACGCCAGGATTATCTGGGGCAACTCGGGCCCGGGGTAAATCGGGATCGGATTCCCGAAAAACGAGCCCGCGTTGCCCCGGACCCGAACTACCCCTGATGACCCGGGGCTCTGCAGGACCCCTTTCTCCCTCGGGGGCCCCTTCCCTTCAGTCGGGTGCGCCGAAGAGGGGGGTGGCCTGGAAGTGGGGGGTGTCGCAAACCATGGCCGGAGGCGCGTGCGCGGCACAGTGGGGGGGACCACTGGACGCAGAGAAAGAATAATAATATGAAGAAGAAGACGTAGAAGAACATGAAGATGATGATAACATCGGGGATGGACTAAACCCCCTTTAGTAAAACGTGGTTTAGTGAAAACGACCTCGGGCCCAAACCTGGCGGGCGCAAGCCTGGAAAAGGACGGCCGCGGCGCCCTCTCGAGAACCGGAAACGGACAATCCACTAATCGGCATTTCAGGGTGGGGGTTCTGTCCACCCCCGACAAGAAGAAGAGCAAGCAGAGTGGGCAGGAATTCCAGGGAGATTGCATGGCCCTGGCCATAATATACACCCCGATGGTGCCGATGCTGATGCTGATGCTGATGCTGATGCTGATGCTGATGCTGATGCTGATGCTGATGCTGATGCTGATGCTGATGCTGATGCCGCTGCCGCTGCTGCTGCTGATGCTGATGCTGATGCTGATGCTGATGCTGATGCTGATGCTGATTGCTGGTGCTGTGCTGCTGCGCGTGTCTGCGCAGCTTGACACAAACGCAACAGCACCGTACCATAAATCATCACCACCACATCAGCATCTTCATCATCAGCAGCAGCATCAGCATCAGCATCAGCATCAGCATCATCATCAGCATCATCATCAGCATCCACATCAACAGCATCAACAAGATCATCATCAGCAGCAGCATCATCATTATCATCATCACCACCAACAATATCATTAACATCACCACCTCCACCACCATCCGCATCTTCACCACCACCACCATCATCCGCATCATCAGATTGAGCAGTATCACCAGCATCACAAACCTCATCATCCTCATAATAATCATCGTCCTCATCATCACCACCATTACCATCGTCCGCATCATCACCAACATCATCACAATCAGCAACAACGCATCATGACTACATACATCATCATCACCATCACCATCACCATCATTAGCATCACGATCACCATCACTATCACCACCATCATCCCCATCATCACCACCATCAACAACAGCATCAGCATCATCACCATCATCATCATCATTTTTCACCATCATGATCATAAGCATCACCATCATCAGCATCATCATCAGCAGCAGCATCATCATCAGCAGCAGCACCATCACCAGCATCATCATCATCATCTTCTAGTCCTCGCCCGCCTCTTGGACGCCCCCGATTCATGGCGGTCCTCCTTCTCCAGGGCGGCACGGGTCGCCACGGCCCGCAGTGCGCCGTCCACCTCGGCATCCCTCGCAAGCTTCCAGTCCTATAGGGCAGGAGGACAGAAATGAGCACCCCCTGCCTTCAGGCGAAGCTTGGGCCCCGTTGGTTCTTGCAAGACTGTGGGAGGCGGAATGAGACCAGCGCGCGTAAGGCGAGCACGTGAGCTCGTTGGGCGTACGTGAGAAGCGTACGGTGGCATCCTATGTGCAGGTGTTTCCATGCATGCCTTAAGGAGTTTAGAGTGGTCGTTTTGAGTATGGTCGTGTTGGGTGTCATGGTTTTGGGTATGCCTCAACGAGTTTAGAATGGTGTTCTTAGCCGTATTCAAGGGAAACCAAGGCGAAGCCCTGTCGCAAACGCTTCTAGAAGGAAGGAGCCGAGCAGGACAGGGCGGCTCAGCTAACGCCCAGGGCTGCTTAGGCTAAACACCAGCTTTGGGGGTCAGTGCAATTTGTCCTCCCACGGATATTAGAGTCCCCAGTGGTTTTCAGGCCATAATGGAACGCGCAGAGACATACGAATACCATACGTCATCCTTGGAGGCGCGCGTCCGACCCGAACCTATAGTATACCCATATTGTAGTATATCGTTTCCCGAGCGGTACGGCCAGATAGCGCCCGCCACGACGCATATACTATAAGACCTCTCGGTGCGCGCGTCGCCCCTGCGGGGGGCGGGGGGGGGGTCGACGCAAACATTCTACTAGTATGTTGGGGCGACGCCGATTAAAAGTCCCCAGTGGCTTTCGGGCCATCAGTCGGGCCTGCGGTGGACCTTCGGGACGATCGGGGCACCCCCTGGGAAAGCTCTCAGCGAGGCGCGGCCGCTGACAAGCCTCCCGAGGCTGGAAATCCTCGGAGTCCCAGGCGAAAACGTCCGAGCCCTAGTCGGGGACGGCTGCAAGTCCCGACCCGTTCCCCCGGGCCGGCTTCTCACCCCGAGTCCTTTGTTGACGGTCCTGGGGCCGTGCGAGGGCCCCCGCCCCCCCCCCCCGAGGCCGAAAACAGCCTTTGGAATGAACGACTCAGTGGTCAGTGGCATGGTGATTCCTTCTGGCTGCCCGCGCAGACAGGAACTGCCCAAGCGGGCCTAACCAACTTTTAATCTACGTGGCGAACGTTTCCCTATTCGGCGTTTCGACATTGGGCGGAAGGGGGGGAGGGGGGGGGACCTGTCTCCGGACCTCTGCTCAGAGCGACTGTTCGCAGAAGTGCGTCCTATGGGGGAGACCCCACCGTCTCGAGACAGGAGCCAAAAACAGCCAACATCTACTCCATGGGGGAGGAGGGCAGGGCGGGTGCGAGGGCCCGCGCCGATCGGCAAAACAAGGAACAAGCAAACGATCGCATTGTGGTTGGCCCGTTGTGCGGGCGGCCCGAGCAGACCCCCGCCCCGCCAGCAGCCATCTGGGATTGCGAGGGTGGGCGCTCTCTCATGCGGCGCCTCGACATTTTGGACGAGGAGGAGCATGGAGAGGAGGATGAGGATGGGGAGGGATAAGGAGAAGGAGAAGGAGAAGGAGGAGCAGGACGATGGGGGGGCACGAGGCGGAAGGGGAGCCTCGACCGGCGCTGCGGCGAGGCCTCCGTGCGCAGCTCGGCGGGCGCAGGCTGGGCCCCCCGCCGCGCGCCCGCTCGTCTCCCCGGGGGGTGGGTAGGGGGGGGTCTGGCTCCGGACCTCTGCTCAGTGCGACTGCTCGCAGCAGTGCGCCCCATGGGGTATACAGTCGAGGTGCTACCAGAAGGAACGCCAAAGAAGGAACGGAGCCCCTTCTTGGCCCCAGAAGCGCCCAGGTGCAACAGGATGGAGGAGGAGCCGTGGAAGAGCTTGAGGAACAGCGAGCCCCTTCCGCACCCGAGGCGTTCCTTATTTCAGCGTCTTGGCTGTGCTCCACCTGCTTAAGACAGGCGCTAGAAGAAGCCGAGACCTGCTCCATGAGGGGGGGGAGAGGGGGTGCGAGGGCCCGCGCCGAGCAGCAGAACATCGAGTAGGCAAACGATCACGCATAATGGCTAGGAGCGTTCGGTTCACATTTGCACGTGAAAACTGTGTTTGCACACTGGCTCAGCCACCAACGCCCCAGCCACCGTTTCGGAATTTCGAAGGCCCCTAACCTTCCGTCGTGATTTTTTCATTCGCGACTCGAACATGTCTAGGGCCTTCAAAATCGGGTCCGAGATGGGGTCGGAGGACAGCGCCGCAGCCCCAATGCGTCGTCGATGCATCGCAGACAAATCGGTGACGCATCGGCGTTCAATCGACGTTGCATCGACGTTGTATCGACGCCGCCGGCGTGGGGAAAATCGGGCTCCACATCGAGCCGCATCGCCGATGCATCGGCGATGCGGCGCGATCCTCCGACACAATCTGCTCGGACCCCATTTCGACTAGAGGATCTGAAAATGGCATAAACACAAACGTTGAGAGATCCTCGCGGATTTCTTGGATCGGCGCTGGACCCCCCTTCCTGGCGCGCGGAGCGCGCCAGGGGCGGCGCCCGAGGCGCCGCCAGGATTCTCCAGCGATGCAACGTGCAGGGCCAGCCTCACGGCCCTCGAACTTGGGAGGCGTGGAACGCCTGGGAGCGCAGCCGCCCCGATGCGCAACGCGAACCCCGTAGCGTGTCAACACGGAGCCCAACACGCAGGTTGAAACCGTGAACTTGGCACAGTACGCCCGCCAAAAAGCGGGCCCACGCGTGCCGAGCCCGACACGCAGCGTCTTCACACGGACGCTTTGAGCACGGTGCCGCGCTGCGCTCTGCAGCGGGCGCAGCAGGGCAGCCGAGGCCTGGGGAGCTTCCCCCTCGGGCTCCGGCATCGCCGCCACGGCCGCCTGCACCTCTGGTGCGCGGCCGGAGGGGGGGCCCTGGGCACGGAGAGACGTGGAGTGCGCGGCCGAAGGGGGGGCCTTCTGGGAACGCAGCCAGGCGCGCAGGCCGCTGCCATCGCATCGCGTTCAGCGGTCGGGGGGCCCCGTTGGGCCCGCACCAAAAGGTCACTCCGGCGAAAGGTCACTCTTGAGTCTAGTCGAGAATTTCGTGGGGAGTTTCCCCCTCGAGGTTCGACCGCTCCTGGGCAGATTCCTGGAAGCTAATCCGCGCGTTCCTGGGCAGGCTGGGGCTATCGGCCACCTATCGGCGATCAATGGGCGATTGTGGGTCGATGCATCCCCCCCTGGGTTTCTCGATAAGCCTGGGGGTTTAACCCCCCCATCGGGGATCAACCTCGCCTCGTCGTCGCGCGGCGACAGGGGTCAGAGCGCCTTCGGCGCGCGGTGGCTGCCCGCGACGGGGGTCGATGTGGGGCTGTCGGCGAGGGTGACGCCCCCCCGACGCTTATTAAGAAGCTCGGGGTATGCCCATCCCCCCATCGTTGCCCCTGAAGATCGGGGGGGCCAAGAAGGGGGCGGGCGCAAATCATGGCTGGCGGCACGTGCGCGGCCCAAGGGGGGGGGCCAGAGACGTAGTGAAACGAGAGGAGGCGCCATGAAGTCTGGGGAGGTATCATAGCCCCCCCGCCATGACATCCACCCCCCACCCTGGTCATCACCCCCCTCTTGTAGAGGCCTCCTAGATGGGGTCCGAGTCGATGGGGTCAGAGCATCTCGCCGCATATCGCTGATGTATCGGCGATGCATCGGCCACGCACTGGCGACGTCGGCGATGCATCGGCGACGTCGGCGTGGAGAAAAGTGGGCCCCACATCGAGCCGCATCTGCGATGCGGCGCGATCCTCCGACCCCATCTACTCTGGCCCCAGCTAGGAGGCCTAGAGCCATGCATAATGTCCACCACCACCCGTTATGACGAGGAGGAGGAGGAGGAGAAGGAGGAGGAGGAGGAGGAGAAGGAGGAGAGGAGGAGAAGGAGGAGGAGGAGGAGGGAGGAGGAGGAGGAGAGGAGGAGGAGGAGGAGCCCCCCTTGGCCGCCACAGAGAGGAGAGGCCCGGTAGCCTACCCCTCGAGGTCCGCCATCGCCGCCACGGCGGCCCGCACGCCGCCCTCGCCCTCCGCGTCCTCCGCGTCCTCCGCGCCGGTCGCGGGCGAGCCTGGGCGGGCGGGCCGCCGCGGGCCGTCGGCCGGGGGCGGCGCGGTCGACCGCCGGGCAGGTGCCAAGGGGGGGGGTCTCCACCAAGGACTGCCTTCAGGTCGGGCGTGTCTCCCTACAGGCGGATTCGACCCACGAAGCCGGGAAGGAATATAGAAATGTAGGCATGGCAACGTTTTCAAAGACACCTGATTGGGCGACGCTGTGCTGTGCTGCGCCGTGCCGAGGGCTGTGCTGTGCTGCGCCGTGCTGAATTGCGATGTGCCATGCCGCGATTGTGCTCTATAACGTTGTGGATCGAGTCCTCCTTTGCATCCGAGTCCTGACCGAACTGATCTGGATCTTAAGCTCGAGCTGAATGAACCCATAGTAGCTGCCCAAGAGCTGATAGGCAAGGGAACACGCCAGGAGGACGCGCCGCGGAACGTCCCAAGGGACGCGCCAGGCGACGTGCCAGGGGACGTGCGCTGGGCACGCACCGCGGGACGTGCCTCATGCTAGACATCCACCTGGGCGAACTCGGCACGTGAAACCAAGTGGTTCGCTCGAGACATCCTCAACACCTCTTCATGTTAGACGTCCCCCTGGGTCACCTGGGCACTTAAAAACGAGCGTTTCGCTCGAGACGTGTTCAACACCTCCTCATGCTAGACATCCGCCTGGGCAACCTGGACACGTGAAAGCAAACGTCTCGCTCGAGACGTCCTCAGCACATCTTCATATTAGACATCCGCCTCGGTGACCTGGACACGTGCAAACCAGCGTTTCGCTCAAGACATTCTCAACACATCCTCGTGCTAGACATCCGCCTGGGTCACCTGGACACGTGCAAACAAGCATCTCGATCGAGACTTCCTCAACACATCCTCATGCTAGATATCCGCCTGGGCGACGAGGACGCGTGAAAATAAGCGTATCGCTCCAGACATCCTCAACAACACCTATTGCTAGACCTCTGCCTGGGCAACCTGGAGGCGTGAAACCATCGAGACATCCTCAAGAGCTGGGCAGGTGAAAACAAGCATTTCACTGAGAGATCCTCTGAATTCTGGTCCCCAGGAGAGGACAATCTATAACACGAAACAACTGTTTCGCTAGAGACATCCTCAACAAGTTCCGCAAACCAAGCGTTTCGCTCGGGACATTCTCCAAAATAATCTTGCTGGCCCTGCGCGACCTTATTACTTATCGCGAATAAATTCGCCGGCCCTGCAACCGTCGAAGCCAGGGGTAAACCAACTAAACAAAAACCCTGGACTCAGGCCCTTTCCGGGGAAAGTTTAAAAAAAAAACTCGAAAATGTTCAAAACATCGTCCTTACACTAGCTTCTTATTATTTTTGAATGTATCCCCCTGTAGACGGGCATGCCCTACTTAAGACTACCTACCAGACCACACCAAGCCAACCCGAAGACCCGAACTTCGGGCTGGGGGGGTACAGGCTTCATGCGTGCTTTTCCCATGTTCCTCGATCCCCCCCCAAGGAGGGCAGATCGGGGCCTTGGGGTTGGGTTAGGGGTGGTTTGGTTGGCAGTGAACCACGGGGGGGGGGGGCTTCTTGATGGAGGAGTGTGGGCCAGCTTCGCGGAAACTTCTTGAAGCAAGCCTGGGCTAACCTCTGTTCACGCTGGGGGGGGGGTCTCCACCAATGACTACCTACCAGACCACCCCAACACAACCCGAAGACCCGAATTTCGGGTTTGGAGGGGTACGCGCTTCATAACATGTGTTTTTCAATGTTCCCCGTCCCCCCCCCACTGCAAATGTAAGGCAAATCGGGGCCTTCGGGTTGGGTTGGGGTGGTTTGGTGGGCGGTGAACCAGAGGGGGGGGGGCCTCCATCAAGCAAATTATCGTTTAAGAAGTGTGGGCCAGCTTCCTGGAAAATCCTCTTAAAGCAAGCCCGGGCCAACTTCTATTGTGAATACTGGATGGGCGGACGTGCTCAAGACGCTGGCACAGCTTTCTGACAAGTAGGGAAACAAAACAACAACAACAACAACAACAACAACAACAACAACAACAACAACAACAACAACAACAACAACAATCATTTTACCCGAACGCTCAGTGTTCTCCCCAGTGCCAGGGTTTTCATGCGACGCCAGCCAATACCCCCACTTCGTGGGGGGGCAATGCAAGCTCTACCAAACATCCACACGACTCTCGGGAACCACCCACACCCAGCTTCCCGCCCTATGACGTCAGGACACTTCACTTCGTGGCGCGCGGACGATCGTGGATACTACACTGGCGTGGAGTACACACCCGCAGAGGTTGATCACTTGTTTGGGCCCCGCATGTGCCCCGCATGGTGCATTTGTTGCGTATGACATACATAGTACAGAGAGACAGAGAGAGAGAGAGAGAGAGAGCAAGACAGAGAGCCAGTGGAGAGAGAGATAGAAAGAGATTCGTCACATGTGTGAGGCAACCTGAGAAGATGTGGTACACGGTACACGTGAGATGGTACGCAGTGCCAAGATAGTTGGTCACATTTTTGAGGCAAACTCCTGGGAAGGCGATTACACAAGTAGATGTGTTACGTATGATAGATATGAAGCAGAGAAAGAGCGAGAGACAGAGAGAAGGAGAGAGAGGAGTCGGTCACATCTTTAGGGCAACTTCCTGAGGGATGTGGGAGGACACAAGAGAGAAGGTATCGTTGTCCCGATGGTTGTCTCGATGGTTGCCCCGATGGTTGTCCTGATGGTTATGGTTGTCCCGATCGTTATCCCGATGCTTGTCCAAATGGTTGTCCCGATGGTTGTCCCGATGGTTGTCCCGATGGCTGTCCCGCTGCGATGCAATGTTGTCTGTTTCTGCTGTTATACAGTCCCAAGGATGACGCATGCATTGCTCATACACTGGTGGCGCTGTGATCCTAACTCTCACTGCCCTCGTAGGCTCGCAACCGTTGTTGCAGAAGGTCGAAGCACCTGAAAAGGTTCCTCGCAAAGGCCCTTTTAACAGAAATGTTTAAAATCTGGTGGGTTTCCTAGGAATCCGCAAGAGCGCGCGGAAGGACATTTTGACAATTTTTTCTGAGAAAACCATTGGGTTTTTGATGTTTTTATGTTAAAATCGTTACGAAACCTAAGGTTTTGGAAGGATTTCGTCTTGCGCGCACGAATGTCCACTTTACCTTATTTTTTGCAAGGGATTCTTGCAATTTGATCAAGTAAAAACAAGAATTTTCATTTTCTATTGTTTTTTGCAAGGGAAAACGAGCGTCAACAAAAAACCGGATCCGGAGCTCATCCACTTTTCTGAAGCTTTCGCGAAAAAATGATGAAAATGTAGCTGCGGCCTAGGCGCGGCGCAGAGGTCGCGCACCAGGGGTCCCAACAATAATAATTCTTTAGAAGGAATAATGTTCAACCATAACAACAATAACAACAACCATAACAACCACAACAACAACAACCACAACAACCACAACAACAGCAACAGCAACAACAACAACACCAACAACTACTACGACTAACAACTACAAAACAGCAACAGCAAAAAGCTGTCGCAATTTTCCGGGAGGAGGTTGCTTGATCCTATGCTCGACCGTACTCCTCCTCCATCCCTTTTCCTGATATGTCAGATTCCAGAAAGAACCCCCCACATGATCGACCCACGAACCCGGAAAGGAATATAGAAATGTAACGCATGGCAACGTGTTCAAAGACACCTGATTGGGCGACGGGCAAATGCAATGCTGAGTGTATCGATCTTGATGTACCCTGCCGAGGGCTGTGCTGTGCTGCGCCGTGCTGAATTGCGATGTGCCATGCCGCGATGATGCTCTATAGCGTTGTGGATCGAGTCCTCCTTTGCATCCGAGTCCTGACCGAACTGATTTAGATCTTAAGCTTGCCTGAACCCATAGTAGCTACCCCAGAGCTAATTGACATGGGGGCATGCCAGGAAGACGCGTCGCGAAACGTCCCAAGTGACGTGCCAGGCGACGTGCCAAGGGACGTGCCATGGGCACGCACCGCGGGACGTGCCAAGGGGACGCGCTACGGAACGTGCCAATGGATGTGCCACGGGACGTGCAAGGGGACGCGCCGCGCGGCGTGCCAGGGGGACTCGCCACGGGACGCTCCACGGAACGTGCTAAAGAACGTGCCAGGTTGCAATGCTGAGTGTATCGATCTTGATGTACCGTGCCGAGGGCTGTGCTGTGCTGCGCCGTGCTGAATTGCGATGTGCCATGCCGCGATTGTGCTCTATAGCGTTGTGGATCGAGTGATCCTTTGCATCCGAGACCTGACCGAACTGATTTGGATCTTAAGCTCGAGCTGCCTGAACACATAGTAGCTGCCCCAGAGCTACTTGACAGGGCGACATGCCAGGAGGACGCGCCGCAGAACGTCTCAAGGGACGCGCCAAGCGACGTGCCAGGGGACGTGCCATGGGGGCGCACCGCGGGACGTGCCAAGGGGACGCGCTACGGAACGTGCTGGGGACAAGCGTGTCGCTCGAGACATCCTGCCATAATCCTCATGCTAGACATCCGCCTGAGCGACCTGGACACGTGAAAACAAGCATTTCGCTCAACACATCCTCAACACGTTCTCATGCTAGACATCCGCCTGGGCGAACTGGACACGTGAAAACAAGTGGTTCGCTCGAGACATCCTCAACACATCTTCATGTGAAACGTCCGCCTGGGTGACCTGGGCACCTAAAAGAAAACGTTTCGCTCGAGACGTGGTCAACACCTCCTCAGTCTAGACATCCGCCTGGGTTACCTGTTTCGCTCGAGACATCCTGTAAAAATCCTTATACTAGACATCCGCCTGAGCGACCTGGACACGTGAAAACAAGCGTTTCGCTCAACACATCCTCTACACACTCTCATGCTAGACATCCACCTGGGCGAACTGGACACGTGAAAACAAGTGGTTCGCTCGAGACATCCTCAACACATCTTCATGTGAAACGTCCGCCTGGGTGACCTGGGCACCTAAAAGAAAGCGTTTCGCTCGAGACGTGGTCAACACCTCCTCAGTCTAGACATCCGCCTGGGCGACCTGTACACGTGAAAGCAAACGTCTCGCTCGAAACGTCCTCAGCACATCTTCATGTTAGACATCCGCCTGGGCGACCTGGACACGTGAAAACAAGCGCATCTCTCGAGACATTCTCAACACATCCTCATGCTAGACATCCGCCTGGGCAACCTGGACACGTGCAAACAAGCATCTCGATCGAGACTTCCTCAACACATCCTCATGCTAGGCATCCGCCTGGGCGACGAGGACGCGTGAAACCAAGCGTTTCGCTCGAGTCGTCTTCAACAAAACCTGGTGCTAGACCTCTGCCTGGGCAACCTGGACGCGTGAAACCAAGCGTCTCGCTCGAGACATCCTCAAGACCTGGGCACGTGAAAACAAGCATTTCACTTGAGATATCCTCTGAATCCTGGTCCAAAGGAGAGGACAATCTATAACACAAATCAAACGTTTCGCTCGAGACAACCTCAACAAATTCTGAAAAACCAGCGTTTCGTTCGAGACATCCTCAAAATTCAATTTCGCCAGCCCTAGACGACCTCGTTATTTATCGCAAATAATTTCGCTGGCCTTAGAGCCGTTGATTCCGGGGGTAAACGACTAAAAGAGAACCCTGGGCCCCCGCCCTTTCTTGGAAAAAGATGTATCTCTTGGGAGGCCGGCTTTTGCTACCGCTGGCTTCCGCCAGCCTCCGCGGCTGAGACAGCCTCGTTTTACTTCCGCTGCCTTCCGCCGACCTTCCGCCACCTTCCGCTGCGGAAGAGATGGCAACTCCTTCGACCCTCGAAGGTAAGGACGGTAGGGCGGGTCGGGCGGGTCGCCTGAGACTCCTACCACTTATGACCCTTAAGCTTAAAAGTTTGCAAGAGCTTCGCGGATGGAGGGCGGGTCGCTTTCAAAATATGGCTCTCACTTTCGGGCTGCGCACAGTCGGGTTCAAAGTTCGCACGAGGTTCACAGATGGAGGACGGGTCGTTTTCAAAATGTGGCTATCACCTCAGCGCCGCACGCTTTCGTCTTAAAAGTATGCAAGAGCTTGACGGATGGAGGGCGGGCCGTTTTCAACATGTGGCTCTCGCCTTCGCGTCGTATGCACACGTCCTAAGCATTTGCAAGAGCGTCCAGGGTTCTCATGGTTGGCATCCCAGAAGCGGTGCTTTGGCACGATATAGGACTGCCAGAGCGCAACAATTACATGTTTCGCGGTGCTGAAGTCCCAGGAATTCTGTTCTGGCGCGAATCGAAATCGTCTAACCGCGACGTTGAAGTCCCAAAAATTGTGTTCTGGCACGGTTCAGGACATTCAGACGTTGTCTTCCAAGGGGGCACTTCCCTCAGTGAGAATGAACCCTTGTAGGGACCTCTGAAGAGGGAACTTGGAAAGAGGGTTCATTGCAAAATCGTTAATCAGTCATGAGGTTACACAACTCCTCCTCCTCCTCCTCCTCCTCCTCCTCCTCCTCCTCCTCCTCCTGCTCCCTCCTCCTCCTCCCTCCTCCACCTCCTCCTCCTCCTCCTCCTCCTCTTCCTCCTCCTCCTCCTCCTCCTCACCCTCTCCTCCACCTCCTCCTCCTCCTCCTCCTCCCTCCCCTCCTCCTCCTCCTCCTCCTCCTCCTCCTCCTCCTCCTCCTCCTCCTCCTCCTCCTCCCTCCTCCTCCTCCTCCTCCTCCTCCTCCTCCTCCTCCTCCTCCTCCTCCTCCTCCTCCTCCTCCTCCTCCTCCTCCTCCTCCTCCTGTCCTCCTCCTCCTCCTCCCCTCCTCCTCCGTCGGCCTCCACTCCTCCTCCCTCCTCCCTCCTCCTCCTCCTCCTCCTCCTCCTCCTCCTCCTCCTCCTCCTGCTCCTGCTCCGCCTCCTCCTCCTCCTCCTCCTCCTCTCCTCCTCCTCCTCCTCCTCCTCCTCCTCCTCCTCCTCCTCCTCCTCCTCCTCCTCCTCCTCCTCCTCCTCCTCCTCCTCCTCCTCCTCCTCCTCCTCCTCCTCCTCCTCCTCCCAGCTCTTCGCATCCTGTGGCTAGTGTTGCTTCCAGACGTGTGAAACAGAAGGGCATCTCGATTCAGCCTGTTCTTCGAGCCTCAAACTTGGGGGGGGGTGATTCGGTAGCGGGGAAGACGATGGCCAAACAGACGAGGAAGGCACGGCGTTTTGCGAGAACCGCGAGACGCTACCGAGAGACGAGGAGTGTAGAGCTGGCAGGTCCGCAAGATGTCTCCCATGTGGATGGTTATTCATGGACATCGGAACGCAACTGCTTACCCTTAGGAGGAGGTTAGGAGCGGCGTCTGGAGTCAGTAAGAGAGGGAAGTGTTTAAAGACGGCCATCGGCTTTTGCGCGACAGATGAAGATCCTGGAGTCTTTCTGCCAATTTCGGTCGTCAAAGAAGGTTGGATTGTTGGATAAGGTTTCCATATATCCGTGATCGGACTTTCAGGGTCTGGGGGCGAGTTGTTCAGCAGTTTCGAGGCCTACCTGCGAACCGTCACTCTCGGAATATGAATGGGCACCTGGAAAGTACCCTTGCCCACCTCCTTCAAGCAGAGTAGGATCCGATATCAGCAGGGGAGTGGCACAGAACACTAGGAGACGACGGTCTCCCTTTTTTTGAATCGAAGTTCGACGCATAACTCCTCGAGTCCGCTGGGGAGGCTCAGGATCTTCTTGACGATTTCGCTCTTTCAGTTTCTCTTCGTCAGTGGCGCGTCGCTCCTGACAGTTACTGCAGTGCCAGCCTAGAATCCGGCGACAACAAGTATTCGCCGAGGCTTCTGTTGGCGCAGCTCGAGACAGCCGAAAAGGGTCAGACACTTTCGGCGGTTTTGCTGCACATAGCGCTTAGGGGTTGCTGGATAGTTGAGAGGAAGCAGGTACTGGGATTACCGGAAGATGGGTTATGTCCGAGGTGCCGCGCTGGAGTGGAGACTCCGCTGCATCGGCACTGGCTTTGCTGCAAGAGCGTCGGGCATCCGGCCTACATGCAGTCAGAGTCATTAATTCAATTAGCCATTTCCAGGGGGGGAAGCAGAAGGGTGTTTTTGGTTTCGAGGGCACATACTAGCGAACTGCACCAGGGTGAGCGCACCCCCTTCGGAGGAAGCTTGACGTGTTGCCGTTGTTGTTTCGCAATGGGTTAGAAGCAGGAGCCCTGGGAGAAGGGTCCGAATTCTCGTCACTGCTGGTGTTTGAAGATGCCTCAGGCGGGGCCGACGGACACAGCCCGCGTTGGAGGCGAGTCGGCATCGGAGTTCGCACCGTGGTTCGGCAAGATCCTTTCACTCTCGGCCCTGCTAGCATGGGGCTACTGTGAAGACGGCAGACCGTTGCGCGAGCGGAACACAAAGGGTTAGAGGTTTCAGTTCGAGTCAGTTGGTTGGTTGATGTATGTCTCTGACAACGACGAGGTCGTTCGGGGCTGAAATGCTGAAGTGTATGAGGCCCCGCAAGGGGTTCAGGCCGACATCTGCAGATCCATCAGTAGACTTCTGGAGCTTAGGTCGGCGTGTACCACTAAAGTCATCAAATTGCCATCGCATGTTGAGGCCAGCGACACTGCGCGAAGGCAGTGGCCTGGGTGGCAGATTGCAGACAGTGAAGCGGCCGGTTGGCTTGCGGCGGAGGCCGCCGAGCTTCTTCGTGTTGAGGATCTCGAAAGGTGTGTTGCAAGACAGGCTGGAGACCAGGCTGTGAGCGTCAGGAAACGTGAAATGAGTCGACTCAGGGAAGTTAGGTGGCGCACCTGGCAGCTGTTCTCTGTTCTGGCTGACAGACGGACCAGCGCTCGCCGTGCTGATGCCGGTGCCGATGTCGCTCCCCTTCCCCGACGGCCTTCGGTGCCGCCTCCCCCGTCGGCTGCCGCCTTTTCTGCGTCCCGCGCCGTCGACGCCGGCAGAGGCAGCTGCGAGGCCTGCGGAGATGCGGCGACGCGTGCTGCCATGGTTCCTGGCTGGTCACACCCTGCGTCCCGCTGGAGCGGCGGATGCAGGAAGAGGAGCGATGAGACCGTCTCTCGGGGGGGGTAGGGTGCATCTGGGTGGTGGGGGGTGCACGATTCTCACGGTCCCGTGTTCAGTCTGGAGTCGAGGGATTGGATCTGTGTCGCGTCTGGTCTCTCGGAGATCCGAATCTTCGGAATCTAGCGGCCCAGAGTGACCCCTCTGCTGTCACGGCTAAGAGGCGGGAGCTCCTTCCACAGTTTCACCGCGGCCTCAAGCCAAAGGCCCCTTCCAAAGAGTAGTGCTGGCCTTCTTGATCCGACTACGCTCGGGGGCGCGCAAACATGGATTAGCGACACCTCCCCAAAATGCGGCCGGTGCCGCCTCGCTCGGCGGCGACAGTGCGCGCTATCCCATGGAAACGGGACCCGTCGCTAATCCACGCCCCCTTCCTCCCTGCTTGTGATCGCCTGATGCGTCAGGGTCCCGAACGCCCGAATTCACCCTGCGCCCCCGATGGTGCTGACACCCCCCCTGGCGCTGCACGAGATCCCGCCAGGCCTCTGGATGAAGGGGCCCAAGGACACAGAAATACATACACACAAATAGCAATTTTCCCTATATTTTCTCATATTTTGGGGGGGTCTGTCTTTCCCCCCACTTCCCATATTTTCCCATATTTCCTGGGGAATCGACAATTGATTGTGTCTGTGTTTTTGTTCCCTCCTGACTGGAGCCCGCAGCGCCGCCGGCCGCGCCGGGGCCCTCCACCAGGAGGCCCTGCAGCCGCCCCGCCAGCGCGGCAGCGCCCTCGGAGGGGCCGCGGGGCTCCTCGGCCTCCAGCTCGTCGGGGGAGCCCGGGCGGCGCGGGGCGCCCGGCGCGGCCGCCTGCTGCTGCGCCGCGGCCTCCTCCTCCTCCTCCATCTCCTCCCCCCACCTCCTCCTCCTCCTCTCCTCCTCCTGCTCCTCTCTCCCTCCTCCTCCTCTCCTCCTCTCCCTCCTCCCTCCTTCTCCTCCCCCTCACTCCCTCATCCTCCTCCTCCTCCTCTCCTCCGCCGCCTCCTATCCTCCCTCCTCCTCCTCCTCCCTGCTCTCCTCCTCTCCTGCTCCCCTCCTCCGTCTCCTCTTTTCCCTTCTATCCTCCTCCCTCCTCCTCGTCGTCGTCCTCCTCCTCCTCCTCCTCCTCGTCTTCCTCCTCCTCCTCCTCCCTCCTCTCCTCCTCTCCTCCTCCTCCTCCTCCTCCTCCTCCCTCCTCCTCCTCCTCCTCCTCCTCCTCCTCCGCCTCCTCCTCCTCCTCCCCCTCCTCCTGCTCAAGTCCTTCTCCTTGCAAATGACTCCTCCCTGTCGCACCCCGAAGCCAGTCGGAAGGGCGGCCCAGGCGTTTCGCCTGAGACTTCCTGACCATGTGTGATCCTGAAGCTAACACTTAGCAGCAATGTCACAGATGGCTCTCACCTTAGCACCGCTTCCAACATGTGGTTCTCGCCTCAACGCCGCGCACATCCGTCTTAAACAACTGGAAGAGCTTCGGGGATGGAGGGCGGCTCCTCTCTAAAATGTGGCTCGCGGCTCAGCGCGGCGCGCACTTTTTGGATACAGATTGCACGAGCTCCACGGGTTGCCATTGCCAGCGTACAAGAAAGAGTGTAATGGAAATATTCAAGACTGTCAGGGCGCGACAGTTACACTGATTCGCGGTGTTGAAGTCCCCAGAATGGAGTTAATGGTGCGTTCATGGTGTTCTGGCGCGCTTCATGATCGACGAGACGCAAAATCAGGTTGGTTCGTGGAGTTGGGATCCCCAAAATAGTGTTTGGGCACGCTCCAGGGTCTTCAAACGGTTGTCTCCCAACGAGACACTCCCCTCAGTGGAAATGAATCCTTGCGGTGGCATGTGAAGAGGGAGCTTGGAGGGAGGATGTATTCCAAGATCGTTGGTGAGCCTTGGATTTGCACTGGTCCTCCTCCTCCTCCTCCTCCTCCTCCTCCTCCTCCTCCTCCTCCTCCCCCCTCCTCCTCCTCCTCCTCCTCCTCCTCCTCCTCCCTCCTCCTCCTCCTCATCCTCCTCCTGCTCCTCCTCCTCCTCCTCCTCCTCCTCCTCCTCCTCCTCCTCCTCCCTCCTCCTCCTCATCCTCCCCCCTCCTTCCTCTCCTTCCCCCTCTCCTCCTCCTCCTCCTCCTCCTACTCCTCCTCCTCCTCCTCCTCCTCTCCTCCTCCCTCCTCCCTCCTCCTCCTCCCCTCCTCCTCCTCCTCAATTCCTTTCCCTTGCAAATGACTCCTCCCTGTCGCACCCCGAAGCCAGTCGGAAGGGCGACCCGGGCGTTTCGCCTGAGACTTCCTTACCATGTGTGATCCTGAAGCTTACACTTGGCAGCAATGTCACAGATGCAAGGCGGGCCGCTTCCAACATGTGGCTCTCGCCTCAGCGCCGCGCACATTCGTCTTTAGAATGTTGAAGAACTTCGGGAATTCAAGACAGCTCCTCGTCAAAATGCGGCTCGCGCCTTAGCGCCGCGCGCTCTCATTCTACAAGTTCGCAAGAATTCCACGGACACCCATTGCTAGCATACCAGAAGCGGCGTTTTGGAACGATTCAGGATTGTCAGGGCGCAGCAGTTACGTTGATTCACGGTGTTGAAATCCCAAGAACGGTGTTCTGGCTAGGTTAAGGATCGTCAAGACGCAACAATGAGGTTAATTCGTGGCTTTGGAGTCCCGAGAACGGTGTTTTGGTACGCGCCAGGATCTTCAAACGATTGTCTTCCAACGGGGCACTCCCCTCAGTGGAAATGAACCCTTGTAGGAGGAACATATATGAAGAAGGAGCTTGGAGGAAGAGTGTATTCCAGCATCGTTGATGACTATTGGGTTTACATTGGTCCTCCTCCCCCTCACCTCCTCCTCCTCATCCTCCTCCTCCTCCTCCTCCTCCTCCTCCTCCTCCTCCTCCTTCTCCTCCTTTTCTTCCAGGTCAAAAATCCTCCTCATCCTCTTCATCCTCCTCGTCCCCCTCCCCCTCCTCCTGTTCATCCTCCTCCTCATCCCCCTCCTCCTTCTCCTCCTCCTTCCTCCTCCTCCTCCTCTTCCTCCTCATCCTCATCCTCCTCATCCTGTTCATCCTCTTCATCCTTCTCCTCCCCTCCTTCCTCCTCCTCTCATCCTCCTCCTCACCCCCTCTCTCCTCCTCTCCTCCTCCTTCCTCCTCCTCCTCCTCCTCCTCCTCCTCCTCCCGGCGAAGCTCTGCTCTCTGGGGCAGCGGCACCCGGGGGCGGACGCGGTAGGGACGCCAGGTCGTACTCGTCATCCAGGGGGGGGAGGCAGGAGCGGGCGGGCGTCCTCGGGAGGCTCGAGAGGCCTGCGGCTCTCTGAGAGGAGCTCTCGGAGCCTTCCCCGGAGCCCCGCCGCCTCCTGAGGATGCCCTGGCCCCCCCCTTCGCTTCCCCCCTCGGCCCGCCGCCGCTCGTGTCCCCTGGGGGTCACCTCGTGTCGCGCCTCGCGCCCCGCGAGGCGCGACGCACGACGATCTTCGCGCCCTCCTCCCGCCTTGGCGCAGCCCCCCGCCCCCCCGTGGAGCAGGGCAGCCGCTCTGGCCCCAGACCGCGACGCGAGGAGCGACTATCTCTGTCGTCGCGCCCCCGCGGGAGAGCCAGGCTCCCTATACTCCCCCCCGGGGGAGCCCCTCGTGCCGGCGATCTCTCGAGGGGCGGTGCCGAGACGAGGGGCCCCCTCACGGGGGGCGTGCGAGGACCTCGGCTTCCCTGGGCGTGGCTGGTCTGCCGCCGGCGCCTGCGCCGCCATGGCCGTGCATCCACGGCCGCGCGCAGCACGCGGCGCGGCCCCGCCCCCCCTCGGGTGCGCGCGGGGGCCTCGGCAGCGTCCTGCGCCGAGGTGGCCACGTGCCGAGAAGGCATGGGGAGGGCGCAGGAGGCGAGGAGCAGGGAGAGCAGACGAGCGCGTCCCACTACTCGCAGAGTGACTATACTCGCAAATGGCCTGGATCCGCCAGGGGGGGACCTACGAGAAACTGCATCGAACCAGACGTGTGCTTTTTTCTGACGCTGGCGAGGAGGCACTCTGTGCGAGTGGTGCAACGCGCTCGGTGAGCAGAGCAGAAGAAGAGGAGGCAGGCCGGCGCTGTATACCCGGAAGGCTGGGCCCCCTACTATGACGGGCCCTCCCTAGCTCTGGCGCTGGCGCTGGAGGCCTGGGGGCCCGCACGGGCCAGCAGCGCTGCGCCGCCCGCGGCAGCTGGCGGGCCTTCCGGGCACGGCCAGCCCCCGCGAGCGACCGAGGCCGGCGCGCCCTGCGCTGGGGCGCCGAGCGGAGCGCCGCGCTGCAGGCCGCGGCGGCGCGCCAGCTGCGCAGCGCCCTCGGCCGGGAGCGCGCGAAGACGCGGCCGGCGCCGCGCCGGCGGGCGGCCGGCAGGGCGCCGCCCGGCCCTGCTCGCGGCCGCGGCCGCTGGGGGGCGCCGCGGACGGGGGCGGCGGATGGGCCCCGGAGTCGTCGCGTTGCCCTCCAATTGAGCTGGTGATCGTCGGCGAGCTCGGAGTCCGCGAGTGCGTGGGCGGCGCTGGGATGCTCTGCGGCGCTCGCAGGGGCAGGAGCGGCAGCAGGATGAGCAGCCGAAGGATGGGCAGAGGACGAAGAGGAGGAGGGAGGGAGGGGGAAGAGGGAGAGAGAGAAGAGGGAGCAGAGGAGAACGGACAGAGGAGAAGCAGCATTCGCGGGGAAGCCGGAGCAGGAAGAAGGAGGAGAAGAGGAGCAGGAAGTTGAGGAGCACCAGCAGCAGCCAGCCGGCCACACGGCCACACGGCCAGCCAGCCACTCAGCAGCAAGCGGAGCAGGAGAGGCAGGAAGCGGACAGAACCCCAAGCACCAGGGGGTGGAAGCAAAGCCAGCAGGAGGAGCAGTAGGAGCAGGAAATAGGATCCAGCAGGATTGAGCGGGATGGGGGAGGAGGGAAGGAGTAGATAAGAGATGGAGAGGAGGGATCCGAAGGTCGCGGGCGAAGGCGGGGGGGGGAGAGCGAGAGCATTGAGGGGAAGGGGGGGGGGGAGGAAGTGGGGTGGCGGGAGGGGGGGGGCCATACAGAAGGGGCAGAGGGGGAGGGAGAGGGGTGGGAAGGGGAAGGGGAGGGGAAGGGGAGGGGGCAGGGGGAGGGGGAGGAGAAGGGGAGGGAGAGAGAGAGATGAGAGAGAGAGAGAGAGGGGGAGGGCGGGGTGGGCGGGTGGGGCGAAGGCAGAGGGGAGGGATCTGGCGGTTTGTTTGTTTCTTTTGCCGAGGGTGGATATATCTGCGCCGAGGGGGATCGTATGGGGGGGAGTGCCAGGATCAGGGCGGATGTTTGCGAGCCTCGCCCTGTGGAAGGAGGAGGGCGCTTTCTTGCCTCACGGGGGGGAGCGGGGGGGTGGGGAGGGCCTGAGACCGTCTCGCGGGAGCGGGCGTCGGCGGGCACGCGCGCTGGGCACCGGCCCCCCTGCCGGGGCCCTGCTCGGAACCACGGCACGCCGTGGCGGCGTGGATGGCGCTGCTCCCGGGGGGGGGGCCCAAGACTGTCTCGCGGGAGCGGGCCTCGGCTCCCATGGAGAGCGGGCCCCACGGCTCTGGGGCTCCGAGGTCCACCCGGCTCCTGCTCTTTTTCCGGCGCCGGGCGCACGGGGGAAGCGGGGGGGGCAGGCCTTCTCAGAGAGGGCGGCGGGGCTTCTCGCAAGCCCTCCGGCCTGCTGCGAAGCCCGCCCCGTCTCCGGAGAAGGCTGGAGCAAGCTCCTCAGAGGTCTGAAATCGGGCGTGTCCCTCTACAGGAGGAATGTCCCAAAATAGTAAAGCAT